TTAAAGTGTTTTTAAATCCAATGCATTAAACTGGTGGTTGCTGTCTTCACCTATGGTGTAAGTCTGTAGACACAGTTTGTAGTTGGCTGTAGTCTTTGTGGTGTTTTCAAGCGAAACATTTTTTGGCCCAGGCAATGTGTAGCGAATCAGCTCATGGGGAAATATGAATAATTAATCATAACTAGTTATAATTAATTATAAATATTTAGATCCGCTGTAGATATTTAGCTGACCTCTCAGGGTCAACTGTCTGTCAATTCTAAGAACGTTAATTTCCTTCCTAATAGCTGTAGGAAATTAAAAGGGAACGTAAATGAAAAATAAAAATAAAAATAAAAATTTTGATTTAATTAAATCTCAAATTTAATAAGAATCAATTTAGCTGAATTGGTACATTTGTGCTAAACAAATGTAAATAACCTTGTTCACAGACATTTTGGCACCCAGTATGTTTATTGGTTGAGGGGTCTGTGAATGTTTGTTAATCTAATGAATAATTGATTTGTTAAATCAAATGACAAATGGTGTGTCTGATTGGTCCAGACGCTACAAATGTGAGGCAACACCTCAGTCGGCTGTCATTGCCGCTAGTTCATTGATGTTGGTTTGGTGTGTCTGGACCTTATGGGATTTTTCAACCGTTTGATCAATTGTTAGGTGAAAATTGTCAGATAGAACAGTGATAGCACAAGTCTTCTTAACAAGTAGCACAATTTGAATATAATGTACATTTTCCAGTATTAAAAAACGAGTTTGTCCAAGTCCCTAATAGAGAAGTAGTGATATCAAACAATCTATAGCCTGAACATGAACTCACTATACAAACATGTCTTCTTTCCAACTATTTCTGTCTTTCGCTAACATTCTTTGTTTTCTCCTCTCATCTGTTCTGACTTCTCCAGTGAGACAAGAAAGGTTGTGCAGGCTTTTAAACAAGATTTTTTTTAAACTTGACTTTTTAGCCAAGTTTGAATTCTAAGAGTGAATTTAGTTTTTTCCCCCTCTCTCCGGTCTGTAGCTTTCCCCCCTCTCTTTAATTTAAGTTTCATTGTCTGCCATGCTGTAGTTTTCTAACAGAATGAGGTCAGACTGTATGGAATGAATTATTGTTTGGACTGTTGTTTCTGCTTGGACTGTCACATCTTGCAGCAATTGATCCAGCAACTTTGTGCACACACCCATTTAAAGCTTTCGCTTGGAGTTTTTTCCCGCTAGTTTTTCCTTTCTGTGTCTCTCCCTCAAGACTCACAGCGTTATTCACACACACACACATAGTTTTTGATTTGTATTTAAAACACATGCTTGCACGCAGTAGGCAGCGCCCAATGTATTGCAACAGATGTTCAAAGGAAACTGAATGACAGCGTTTCTCTAGGCTCATCAGCGTGTTTCCAAGAAGTCGGAATTCATCTCAATTTTTTCTGAACAAACCCTGCTGCATTTGTAGGCTTTGGGTGTGACTGCTGTTTGAAGGGGCTGCTTGTGATGTCATGAAGACTGCTTAACAGTTGCTGCCCATGTGGCCTATTCGGAAGATTCCCGCGTGAGCCTTGTGCCGCAGCGGTGGCTATAGAAGTGGGTCATGGCATTGCTGATGCGATTGGAAGCGACAAAGCGAGAGGGACAGACCCGCTGCCCCACCCCCACATGCTCATCCGCGTTGAAAAAACATCCATGTCAGTTCACTGAGCTAATATGCACAAATAGCTGATCAACACATCAGATTTATTTGGTCATTGTGCAGTGCTGTCTCTTAATACATTCAGAACTGAGTCTCAAACTACAAAATGCTATAGGCCTACAATGTGTGCTAGAAAGGAATTACATATCATTTTTACTATATAAATTGCAACAATAAAGAGTGCGGATATGCACAATAAACCATACAAACACACCTATAAAACAAATATTTTGGAGGTTTTAGAGGAGCAAAATGGTTTAAATAATGCCCAAAAGTTTAAGTTAAAATTACTGAATTCGACAAATTGTATAGAAGTGAAAATACTGACATCGCTTTGAATTTGCAAAATGTGCAACTTAATTTGCAATGCGGAAGTAAGCTATTTATTTTTTCATAAATGTGCAAAAATAACTAGAAGAACACAAAGTGTACTAAACTTTAAAACTATTTGTGCTGCAGACTAGTGTGTTTATAATTATGATAATAAATTAAAATAATATAACAAATACCAGTTTACAATATGAACAGGTAAAATAACTGGAAGCGAATGACACCAAATTATTAAGAATCTTGCGTTAAAAATAAGATGGATATAACAGTAAAATTCTATTTATGCACTGGCATATGAACTGTTATATACATTTAATTCTAAAATTGATTTGAAAAAATCTGTTTAAAATTAATTATTTAAAATCAGTTATGAAATTTATGAAAATTATTTTATTTTTCAGTTTTGAACAATTTGTTGGATCTGCATGCTGTGGCATGAAATGATTTCATTCTAAAAAAAAAAAAAAATGTGGGAAAAATTGTGGCCACAGAGCAACTTTTTATGTCAAATGTGATTTTTATAGATTTTAGCAAATCGGTGTTGCAGCCCTATTTTATACTGCACTGTATAATGTAACATATGCAAAACTACACTGTAAGTGTATTCGTTTTGAGTATGGAATACTGAATAAGACACTACAAGCACTGGATGTTATCTAGAATCAGGCCATTGGGATTTGAGAAGACATTACACAGAGGTGTTTCTATGGCCATTGTTCTGTGAGCTGTGTTTTACAGCTAGCAGTTATGTTGTTCTCACACCACCAGATCTGATGACTATACTATAATTGTCTTTTGTGTGCCGAGTTATGCTGACAAGAACATTTAGCTCCCTGGAATGATGGAAACTGAATTGTTTTGGGTAGTGGAGTCCTATTTCTAGTAGCTGGTTCTGGTTGGAATGATTTTTGTAGTGGGTGGATCTCTTCACTAGGACGCTGGTCCGGGGTTTTGTGTATCAGAGTTGATTCTTAATCGGCTTGGCCCGTGCCCATCGTTCAGTCAGCCAGATGAAGTTAGATTAGAGTGTCACTAGGGATTTGCAGCCGCCAGTACTGCTTCACTGTCCACTGCTGAGGGTTTTACTCAGACATGGCAGGGGGTTTATCTATTAGGCTAGTAACTAATACCGCCCATATTCTACACCCTGTAAAACACAGTCATGTCTTAAGCAAATAAAATTATTCCTTTATTTCAGAGGAAATATGAACATCATTATTGCAAGGCTTTCATTTTTGCTAAACATTGAACATGAGTGCTTGGATTAAATTATTCAAATCAGCAAAAAGGGAATTCAGTGCTCATAAACAGAAGGAACTTTTGGCTGTAACAGTTTCCCAGCTAACACAGCACATGTTTTTACTCTTTGGATGGCCAAATGAATCAAATGCATGCATGCCTTTAAAATAGTTTCAAAAGGATAAGTCAAAGTATGTGCTTTATTTCATGCTCAAGATTGTACGTGGTAGGAAACTCAAGAAGGTCGGAATGCCAGGTGTTTCAGTTGGTCAATGAGACCAAATGTAAAATTGCAGTGTAATATATTTTACAAACAGGAAATATTTTATGCCAGTGTAAAGTGCTAATCTGAGTGACAATGCTCCTAGTTGTTTCCACGAACCAGTTCAAATGGTCCTTTTCAATTAATCTATTCAAAAATACAGAGTTCTGGCATGAAACTCTAGATGGCGCAGTCCGATAGGTCTAACTCAATCTGACCTAATGACATCATTATCACTTGGCATTGCTGATTGGTTCTCTCCTGTATCGGTAGCCAATGAGCTCGCTGCTCAACAGTGCTTGCCTTAGCAGTTGCAGCTTGCTTCAGAAACCCTCCACCTTCCCCAGCTCCACCTTTATAGATTTGCTACGGGGTCATACATGAAATAACCCCCATATAGCATACATGAATGTTATATTTGCAGCAGCAATATTTCTTACATACTCACAGCAGCATGTTGTGGATATATTGGCAGTAGCAAGTCTCTGTATTTGCTCTGCCGCAGTTCTTGCAGCAACGTAGCAGATCTATTCCGCCAAGACCAAATACCATTAACATTGTCATGTACATTACCATGCCAATCCTTCCGAGAGTTGTCATGACATAACTATAATTTAACGATTTGTTTGCTTCATTACTCAAAAATGTTCCCAGAAGACCCTCTGTTTTTCAGTTATATATAACAGAATATACTGTTATATATTTATATACTGCAGTTATATATAACAGTATATACTGTAGTATAATAGTTATCATTCACTTAATCTAGAGAATGTAATGTGCAATCTTATAATTCAATATTGTTTTGCATTATTCCTTTATTTTTGTTTCAGACTTGCATGTTACGAAGTCTGTGATGAGATGAATTTTCCATGCATTCTTGGCCTGAACCTTGATGCCAGCCCAGAATTAAATGAGCAGCATTACTCATTGATTGCTTGCGTCCAAAGCTACAGGCTCAGTACAGACCACATCAAACCACGAATGATTCTTTTGGTCATTTGAATTCCTTGACAAAGTGTACAGAGAAAACAGAAATGATCTCAACTGTGTTATCAGAATGGGAAGATAAGTTTAAGCTTAAAGCACAGTGGAATTAAATTAAAATCACATATGCATAAGAAATCAAGTAAACTGAATCAAATTAATCAAACCAAACCCCAAAATAGATCACAGGCTGTATTCTCAAGTCTTTAATTAAACTGAAATTTCACCTTGTGATAGTGTTCCAGCAGTTTTAAAATGTCAAAGCTATGTGCTTTTGGGGCAAGAATGAATTTAAAAATGTTTCACCTGATGTGCCAATTAGTGTTGATGATCTTGAAAAACAAGATATCTTGTTTAGGGCTGTTTGTTTAGTTGAGTAGAATAAAAAATGAGTTAGTGTATGGAATTAAACGACAACGAATTCACTAAATAACTAGTTCTAATACTGTAGTTTTTTTTTTCACTTTAGGATTCTAATTGATCTTTTCCTTTGTCTTACAGATGCATCCTCAAACTACATTCGCCAGCTAGAAACCAAGGTCCGGATTCTAGAGGACAATAACAACAAACTGCTGTCACAAGTAAGGACTGAGTTAACAACATGCTTTCTTCCTAAAGCACTTGAAAATATGAGTAATCTAGACCTAGATTTGCCATTGGTGGCATTAATGGTGGCAGTTTGGGGTTACGAAAGAGGCAGCCAATCTTTAATTCATGATGGGCCAAACTGTGTTAAATTGGCACACAGCATCCCCTCCGGCAGGAAGAAGGAGCAGCTTACCGTCACGCCGGGATTGTGTAGGCATCTCTGAGCGTCTGTGGCCTCAATTTAACCTCCCTTGTGGAGAATGAGTGGGTTTTACCAACCGAAAGAGCATTTAAAGTTCACCTATTTATGCTGAAGGCACCACAATCAATCTGCCTATCACCAAATGTCACAAATGTATTCACCCACCATTGTACAGACTTCTACAACAAACCACTTACTGTGAACCCATCCAGCAGAACAGCATTACAGCCCACTCTCCTCTGCACTTGAATAAGACTTCTTTCACCTCCAGCTTGTGTAGATGTGTAGGTAGAAAAAAAAAGGTTCATATTTGAAAAACTGAGAGCAATTACATTTCATAGCTTCACAGAGGTTCCTATTTTAAAGCTCACTGTACTTGCAGGCAAAAAGATAGTTTACACAAAAATCTAAAAATTAACTGTACTCTGACAACTAGGGCTGCAACTACAGTAATAATTGTTTTGAGAATCAGTTAATCTGTTGATTATTTCTTTAATCAATCAATCAATCTATATATATATATATATATGTACTATATGTTTATGTTGACCAAAGCTTTCCCAGGCTGAATTTATTTGATGATAATAATGATAATAAAAATAAATAAAAATACAGGAAAACAGTAATATGGTGAAATATTATTACTGTTTTCTACTTTAAAATATTTTAAAATGTAATTTATTCCTGTGATGCAAAGCTGAATTTTCAGCAGCATTACTCCAGTCTTCAGTGTAAAATAATACTTTTTTTCATTAGAAATCATTCTAATATGCTGATAGGCTTCTCAAGAAACATTAATTATTATTTTCGAATTTTGGATATTGAAAACAGTTGCATTATTTTCAATACTGAAAACAGCTGAATTTTTTTTTTTTTGTGGAAACTGTGATACAGTACCATTCAAAACTTACTAAGGTAAGATTAAAAAAGAAAAAAATATGAATTAATATTTTCATTCAGCAAGGATATATTGATCAAAAGTGAAATTAAAGATATTTGTAATGTTACAAAGGAGATTTTCAACATTTCTAAGTTTGTTTTCAAGAACCATTATTGATAATTGAGAACTGAGAATGAAAGGTCTGTTTTCATGGAAAACAGAAAAGTCTTAATTTTGCTGATGAACGTCATTCATGACCTGGTAGAAACTGGTCACACACCTGATCGTGTAATTTTTGCCTGATTGTGGTCTAGTTTTTGGAAATGCTTCAACTAATAATGTGCACTGCATGTGCAGCAGTGCGTTTGAAATGTAATTGTTGTTCTGTAATATTAGATATTTTTTCAGTATTTCCTTTGCCTTAATTATTTTGCCAATGGCTTTCATTTTGATTAGCAGTCTTTGAAATTGAAAATGAAGGCTAGCTGCAAAATCGAAAACAAAGAACATTGTACTTGTGTGGACAATTTGGTTTTTAACTTGGAGCCCAATCATAGGCTAACGTTTTGCGTTAGAAGCTAAATTTGGTGAAAGACCCCATGAAATCAACAAAATCAATTTATTAAATAGATAGTTCACCCAAAAATGAAAATTAACCCCTTGATTCACTCACCCTCAAGCCATCCTATAGGTGTATATGACTTTTTTCTTTCAGACGAATACAATAGAAGTTATATTAAAAAATGTCCTGGCTTTTCCAAGCTTTATAAGGGCAGTGAATGGGGGGGTCGAGATTTTGAAGGCCAAAAAAGTGCATCCATCCATCATAAAAAGTGCTCCACACGGCTCCGGGGGATTAATAAAGGCCTTTTGAAGTGGATCAATGAATTTTTGTAAGAAAAATACAGTGAGCGGAAGCTAGAGATTACCGTTTATAAAGTTTTAAATATGGATATTTTTCTTACACAAATGCAAAATGAAGACAAACGAAAGGAGTGCATTCCTTCCCATCAAAACCATCCATAAGAAGTCCAAACATTATTATCTGAATAGTTAATCTGGTTATGATAGCCCTTGTGAAGAAACTGTATGAACATGTACTTGTATTTGTTTAATTGGTTTGTGAAATGTGTTTTGTGTTCTCCAGCCCTGTAGCCGTTATAGCTTATCAAAGCTGTCCATGAAGGTAATTTTACCACACTTTTTCTCAGTGGTGGTGGAGCTCTATGTCCTCCTAGCTCTCTTCTTGCTTATTTCTTATCTTTACATTCACATTCTTTGTGACTTCAAAAGCTGGTGTGTACAATGGCATGCTAGGCTTAGTGCTTGTGCTAACATGCTGGGCTGTGCTCGGGGGCTTCTGGCGCATGAGCTCATATGCTTGTCCCTCTGTGTTGAAACGTCTTTCCGATCTTATCATTTATTCAAGCAGCACAGGTAGTGCAGCGTCAATTTTTCATGTCTGACAAACTGATGGATGTAAAGATGAATGTGAACATATTTAAATTGTTAATAAATGCCCACTTATCTATCTTGGGCATCATCCCATATCTTCTCTAAGAGAATGCACCTCTCTGTGTTTTAGCACTGTCTGTCTTGAATTGCTTAAAATCATATTTGACTGCCCAGCAAAGTAATGTTGTGCATATTTTCAAAGCTAACTGGATTTTGGGTTGTCTGAATTGATTAGTTGACTAGTCGGTCATAAAGAAACCTTATTATTAGGGTCCATCATACACTCTCATAAATAAAGGTACAAAAGCTGTCACTGGGGCGGTACCTTTTCAGAAGGTACACTTTTGTATTATTTACACCTAAAGGGTGCATATTAATACCTTAAAAGTACATATTAGTACCGAAATGGTACATATTAGTTCATTTTGAAAAGATACCATCCCAGTGAGAGCTTTTGTTTTTGTGTTTTACCTGTTTTTGGAATGTCACACTTAATTGCATAGTGTTTTAGGGTTAACAGAAATGTCTGTAAAATTACTGGGTAATGACCTGGCAGAAGATTACTGGTGCATTTAAAGTTATTTTTTTTTTCTCTCTAAGGCTACGTTTACACGACAATGATGTAGTCAAAAACGGAAAAGTTTTTCCCTTGTGTTTTTAAAATATTTCACGTATACACGACAACATTTTCAAAACGATTTGCATTTACACATATCCGCGAAAACAGCCAAAAACGCTTTATTACGTATGCCAGGCCAGTAGTTGGCGCTGTCACCTTGTTAGTAAACAGTACCTGTAGGGAAGTGACGATTATATGTTGTATATGATGCGTCTCCGCTGTTGGTTGTAATATTGGTGAAGTAAATCCACACTTCGCTGAAGAAGCGTTAGCAAACAACAACAGTACCATGTATTCCGCCATTGTTGTGTATGTTTGTTTGCGCTTGCCTTTAAAATCGACACGTACTGTGCATGTCTACATACCTAACACGTACTACGCACGCGCATGACGTCACCGTTTTCAAAGATTTCCAAAGATTCAAAGATGTTTACACGGAAACGATAACAGTGGCGTTTTGTAGGATCTCTGTCTTACAACGGACCCACTTACACTATTGAGTCACACATGAAACAATCACATTCCATTGAGACAAACTGAGGAGCCCTATGCAGCCAGCTGCGGTCGTAAAACTCATGCAGGGTCAGTGAAGTGTTGAAGCAGTTCCTGTACTATCTAGCGTATCGTCTCAAGAGACTCAAATAAAAAAACAGTGCTTAAACCCTAACTCAAACTAGGATACAAAACTATCTTTGTTTTACGGGCTTTCAAGGACCAGATGCGTGATACCCCTGACCATTTAACACATAAATTGCTAAATCCGATAAACAGAAAGTGACAGATTAAGAGCTCTCTGTCCAGGAGAAGAATGGCAGACTCCCAACTCGTGACATGGGCATGACCTCAGGACACCTCCCCTTTCCCCCCTGCATTCCAAAAAAAGGGACACGAACTTACACAGACAATTCATAAGACAATCATTTGAAAGTATCGGAGCAATAGATTCACAAATAATATGTTGTATGGCTTATATATATGCTTGGCGTGTTTCATGTAATCGGTACAACTTTAATCAGTGTTTATTACCCTTTTTAGGAAATGAGGTTATTAATATGTGTGTAAGATACTCAGATTCGAGTCCTTTCAAAACCTGAGCTTACAAAAATATGCGTTTTCAGGCCCCAAAACACCGTTGTCGTGTAAACGAACAGGAAAAACGTTTACACAACAACCCAAAACGCTGTTGTCGTGTAAACGAACAGGCAAAACGCATAAAATGTTTCCCGTTTTTGGCTGAAAACGTTGTCGTGTAAACGGCCCCTAACAGTGTAGTGACCTCAGCAACTGACTATTTTGTTTTTGAGTGACAGGATGATCATATCCATTCCTAGTATGATGGTAACATATGCTAACATGTGAGAAACATTTACTTTGTAAAATGTTTCACTAATTTATTTTTCTGATGTCGTCAGAGCAACAACACAGTCAAGTGAGGAATTTTGGCCCTTTAAACAGGTTGCATTCCAGCAGTGCCGGTATCATTCTTGTTGCCACAATGATAAAAAAATAACGTCAGTCTACAGGAATTCTGACACTTCCTCAGTGCTTTCAGGTTCGTTTAAAAAACAGAGATATGTCTAGATAAAAATGTGTGAAAAAAGCAGCATAGAAGCACTTTTGACTTCTGGAACCCATTGTATATAATTCCACACCACCTCTGGTCCCTCTGGTTTTTATGTCCTTTGTCTTTCGCAGAAAAAATACATCTCTGTTAGAATTGTTGGAGAAGAGCTGTGTTACACAGCTGTGTGGTCATTTCTCAACAAGCAGTCATAATGAAGAGAGGATGAATAAGTGAAGGATAGAAAGCTCTCCAAGGATAATATTTATTTTAGAACTGAAGAGGCATGTTTTTTAACAATCAAACATACAAACATTAAATATCAGAAACTGAAAGTATTGATATACTGGTAACACTTTACAATAAGGTTGCATTAGTTAATGTTAGTTAATGTATTAAATAACGTGAATGATGATGAACAATATATTTATTACAGTATTTGTTAACGTTCTTTGTTAACGTTAGTTAATGAAAATAGAGTCGTTCATTAATGCTCATAATGTTCATGGTAATTCACAGTGCATTAACTAATGTTAACAAGCACACCTTTTGATTTTAATAATGCACTTGTAAATGTTGAAATGAACATGAACTAAGATTAATAAATGCTGTAGAAGTATTGTTCATTCTTAGTTCATGTTAAATAAAGTTGTTAACTATGTTAACTAATGAACCTTATTGTAAAGTGTTACCAATATACTAAATTAATAATCCACTGTTTGTTTGTTTTGTTTTGTTTTATTTTTTGATCCCATTAGTTTCAAGAACTGTATGTTTTTGATAGACAATAGTTATTTTTAGTTATTAGTTAATGGTTTAATAGTTATTGATAGTTTGAAATTTTAATATAGATCAGAGTTTGATTATTTTAATAATATTTTTTTAATTAAAATACTTTTAAGTCATCCTGTGGCCCCTTTGAAAATTTGCTGAGGCCCTCTAGTGGGCTCTGGGCCCCTGGTTGAGTCATTGCCCTTGGAGGTCTGCAAATTATATGTTTGTAAAATAATGAATGCAACTAAATGATTTTTTTGTCCCTCCCACACTGAAATATTATCAAGTAAAATTAAAATAAAATGTGTGTCAAGTCAAGTCACCTTTATTTATAGCACTTTTAACAATACAGATTGTGTCAAAGCAACTGCACAGCATTAATTAGGAAAATATTGTGTCAATAATGCAAAATGACAATAGTAAACAGAAGTTCAATAGTTCAGTAGACAATAGTTCTCCTCTGGCCAGACGAAACCAGCAGTTCAGTTCCAGGCTGCAGCAAAGTCACATTGTGCAGAGGACTCATCTGGTTTTTGTGGTCTTGTCCCGGTGGCCGTCTAGGAGACAAGGTCTTCACTGGGGATCTGTCTCTGGGGCTCATCTAGTTGTCCTGATCTCCACTGACATTCAGGGTTGTCGAGGTCGTCTCTAGGTGCTGATCCACCATCTGGGCTGGATAAGTACTGGATCCGGGTGACTGCAGTGGCCATCTGATCTGGATACAGACTGGATCTGGTGGCTACGGTGACCTCGGAATAAGAAAGAAACAGACTATTATTATCGTAGATGCCATTCTGTAGTGAGTACATCGGGTGTTATGGGTGTGTGTGTGTGTGTGTGTGTGTATTCTTTATCAAATTATACAGAAAGTGCATACAGACAAAAATAGAACTTGTCTACACAAGTACATCAGTCCTGGATCAAGGTGTCCTAAATACCATAGATGGCTAGTGGGTGATACAGTATGTTTAGGTTGCAAGCAGATGTGAAGTTCACTTCTTCCTTGCAGCCTCCTTAAACACAGTTTCTCTGCTAAAAGAGAGCGACAGAGTTATTTATAGGTCTTTCTTATAGTGATCACATGCATTCAGGGAACATGAAAGCAAGACATTGAAAATGTCATAAGGATCACTGGTGATTAGAGATGATGCCAGCTGGAGCCTGTGGGTGTCTCTATTAAAGCAGCGTGAAGAGATTCCAGCTTACTTTCTATGGACAAGAATACCTAAAGGATGGCAGGAAGCTGTGTGGGAGTTTGTTCTGGTGCTGAGTTCCATTCATCTCGGAAACTCTGGATTTCAAACTTCACACTTGGGAAAGTGCAACAGAACGCAACTTTGATGTCAGACCTCCTATTTCGAAACTTGATCACTCTGATTTTATCGATATGCAGGAATGTGCCATCACACAAACATGACGGCACCCAGTCAAATGTGCATCTCCTGAGCATCAAGCAATGGAACACTTTCATGGATGGAAGTTGAATAAATCTAGTAGGAATATCCCACATAAGAAACAGCCCCAGGTAAGTATTTTCTATGTGGGTAATAGACACACAGCTCTGCTTGAGTGAGAAAAGACCAAAATCTCCAAATCTGTTTCAATCAAATTTTTCAAGCTAGTCCAGCTAGCCAAGAGTTAGTCAAGACCCTGTTGAAAAAAACAGCATATGCTGGTTTGGTATGTTTTGAAGCATGGAAGCTGGTTTGAGTTGGTTTAAGCAGGAGCTAGTTGCATAGGACCAGCACATGGCCTGCTTAAACCAGCTCAAACCAGCTAAGGACCAGCACATGACGAGCTCAAACCAGCTGCTATGCTTCAAAACATACCTAATCATGCTGTTTTTTTGTTGTTGTTTTTTTAAATAAATAAATGGTAAAAAAAAAAATTCTCTCTTTTAATTAAAGGGATTGTTCACACCAAAATGGAAATTCTGGGTAACACTTTATTTCGATAGTCCACTTTAGACATTCTATTAACAGTAAGTAACTTTGCAACTACATGTCAACTAGCAGTTAGTAGAGTATTAGTAGACTGTCTGCTTAATATCTTCTAACACTTTCTTTGTCAACTTATTCTACTAACCCTAAACCTACCCTAACAGTCTACTCTGAGAGTTAGTAGACATGTAGTTGCAAATTAATGATAATTAGTTGACATGTAGTTACAAAGTTACTTATAGTTAATATAATGTCTAAAGTGGACTATCGAAATAAAGTTTAACCAAATTCTGTCATCATTTTCTCACCCTCCACTTGTTCCAAACCTGTACGTTGGTAACCAAACTGTTGACAGTAGCTATTGACTTCCTTAAAATACTATGGAAGTCAATGGCTACCGTCAACTGAGAAAAACACACATGGGTTTGGAACAATTTAAAGGTAAGTAAATGACAGATCTATCATTTTTAGAGTGAACTATCCCTTTAAAGCAGATATTCCCAATTTCTATTAATCATTTCTCCTCTTTTCTCGTACTGGTTGTGATCTCCAGACTTAAAAAACTTTCTTTCACACGCAACTTTTTTCTTGCCACTTCTATTTTCTCTGAGAACAGGGAAGTATGTTTAGTTCAATGGGATATTTAATATGCACTGAGTCATAATGTCTCTCTTTCCCTCTTGTGTCATTCGGCAGTGTAATCTGGGAGACCTGCAAGTCCTGCGGAAGGGCATGACCCTCTACCACTCAGAATCACAGCTGTCTTCACTCCCCCAGAGGCAGGAGGCCCTACTGAATGTGAGTGATCCTCTCCAAGTCACTGTACATACAAATCAATCCAAGCATATTTTAGCATGTTCATTTGCCGTATTTTTAATCATCTGAAATGTGCTGCGACTAATATTCCAAAGCGACGTAGTCCTAAATAGAGCCCGACCGATATGGGTTTTTTGGGGCCGATACTGATACCGATATTAGGGAGTAAAAAAGGCCGATATCGATATATCGGCCGATATTCTTTGTGTATATTATAGTACAGAACCAGTCAAAAGTTTGGACACTTTCCCATTTGTGTGTCTACACATTTGACTGGTACTATATATAGAATACAGTATATACATAAACAGAATATATATACATAAACACATTTTTTGCAATGATCACCGTGATCAAACACTTATAATGACGTGACAGAGATATGTAATGGAGGCAGGGCATTTAACAATTTAACAATAAACTTTATTATCCAAAATGAGTCTGACATCAGTGCACTGAACAGTAAAGTTGAAGTTTATTCAACTTTAATTCAATTAAATTCCATTCAACTTTATTCCGTTAAAGTTTATTTCACTTCGAAACATTAATTCACGGATTTGCGCTACTGTCTTCACACACAGACAAAACTTACTAGAGAAGTGTGAAGTGTGACATAATATACCTCTGTAAATAAATACAATATAAATTCACGTCTCACGCACTTTAATGCCCTTTGAATGTAACGTGTACGTTCCCTTGTAACTGGAATTATGGCGGAATATCATGTGAAGTCCACATTCGTAGGGCACTTACGGTCGAATAAGACAACGCTTGAATGCTGCTGCCTGAACAAGAGACCTCCTTACTGAAGTGAAAGTGTTGACTGGTGTCACTATCTCACGAACGCGCCGGCGGATCTCCACCAAATTTGTCAACTCTACCGACGCGCGGAGGGTGGCGTTCGAGAGGGTTCCTCGAGCTGAAGGGATCCCCCGAATTTGGTGCGGGTTCGCCGCGCGTTAAGGAGATATGGCCGTTCAAAGTTTCAATGGTTTTCCATAGACTTAATCTTCAAAAGCGTTTCATTCAGGTTGCCAGTAGCAAACAATGGAGCGCGCTCTGCTGGACAAACTAAGTAATTACACAATTTCAAGCATTTTATCTGCGTTATATGTTCTGTAAAAAAAAATTTCATATCGGCGGCATATTAGCTTATACCGATATATCGGCTACAGGCTCATATCGGCCGATAATATCGGCAAAACGATATATCGGTCGGGCTCTAGTCCTAAATAATGCAGTTAACTTCATGTGAGAAAAACGTGAGCAAAGCACACACATTTGAAAATGAGAGAGAATGATTTCCCACACGTCCATAGTTTAGGTTTTGCTTGAACAGATTTGATTCTAAATGAACAATTCAATTGCAGTGGACTGCTGTGCTCATTGATGGAATGGTTTAATGATATGGAATAAAACAAACTTGTTGTCATCTGTTGGGACTGGTGTCAGTAAATACACACAGGGACATTATTTCAAAATGAAAGCTCAATCTAATCAGTTTGGCACTATTCAGCAACAACGTGGGAAGAAATGAGATCCTTGGTGCGTCAAATCTTTAATCTCTCGTACATTGCTATAGGCTTTTCCTGTATAGAACTGGAGGCACTTATCTTTTTAAACTTTTCCCCTGGAAAATTAGCAGACCTACTGAAAATACGATGAATGAATAAAGGGAAAAGCAAATGCGCCTTTGAACATGTAGCCTTCAGCCAGGAAGTCTCACCACTGAGTTTTTCATGTTGCATGCTTGCTTGAAAAAATCTTGCCATAGTCAGCTAAAAGTCTTTACAGCGTTAATACAGAGCTTGAATTGAATTTCTCTAAATTCAAACTCATCATCTCCTCTGAGAAAACAGGTCAGGCTCCTATTTATTCCATTTGACCTTTCATGTTTTATAGATTTTTGGTGTCACTTCTAAGCAGTGGGTGGATTGAACAAAGGCATCAGACATTACCATCGCACAGCATTGTGTGTGAAATTAAGCCAATGAAAACATTGAAAAGTACATAATATGTCTTAGAAGCATGCAAATTGTATTCAACTGCAGTTTTGCTGTCTAAGAATTGATACTAGAGTTTGTCCTCTTTAGTCAGCTCCTATTAGTCTAAATAGAGTGAGAACGACTTTCTTCGACCATTTAAAAATAGGTTTCTGCATGGTGTTTCTATGGGAACCATCTCAAATTATGGAGAGCTCCTTCCAGAAGCTTTGATTGCTAGGCTCTGTTATGAAAGATATAGAGAGGTGTATTTAGATACTTATTAGATCATCATGAACAGGGCACACAGCAAAACACACAAGTGTTTTTTAAATAGGGTGATTTGCAGTCAGTATGAATGTATGCGGATCATGTCTGGCTCTCCTCATGTGCTATGAATGATTAAACACAACCAGGGGTTTTGTCCTCTACAGCTGTCTGGGCTGCTGTGTGCGATGTTGAGCTAAGATGAATGTTTTAAATGGGATGTAGTTTTCATTCTGAATGATCCTCATATCTCTGAGTTGAGACAGATAATTAACGATGATGAATTAGTCAATAAATCACCAATGAGAACAGGACTGCATGATGATAATGGAGATGTGCTGTAACTGGTTTGTTTTTTTTGGTCAACAATGATCTACCAGCTCGGCTAGTTCTCTGGTAGCTGCTAATCTGGTAAAAAAAAGCTGCTAAGATGGTAATCGGAAAAAAAAAATCTTTAAGAGAGCAGTTCAATCTGCAGTCATCTTGGCTTCTATGTACATGAATGGGGAATCATCAAATTCTGCAAAACCGTTGCTTATGTTTACCGCTCTGTACTGTACTTCTGCTGGTCGACCGTTTAAACCAAACTGGATCCCCCTGTTGAAAAAAACAGCATATGCTGGTTAGGTATGTTTTGACGCCAGCTATAAACCAGCAACCATGTTTCAGTGCTTTCAGATGATTTATCCAGCAGGATGTTTTGATGTTTTTAACATTGTGCCGTTATCCTTTACAACAAGGCGGAGGTTTGGTTTGAAAAGTGGTTACAGGGAGGCAGGAGACAACCCTGAAATTATACGTTTTCAAACAAACCAGTAATTAAACCAGTGAGTCACAGGACCTGAATTATATTCAAAATGCTGGAGTTTAAAATATGGTGAAAGGAAGTGTGGTAATATAGGGAAAATAAGTCACGTTTACTATACCTGTGTCTGCCCCACCATATTAAAATTGCTTCTGAGTGACCCGTCCTGTTCATGATATCTGAAGATATTTCGCTCTGTGTATACCTTAAAATACTTAAAAATTTGTTACATTCAATATTATCATTCACTGTGTATACACTTCAAAAGATTTTATGTTTTTGAAAGAGGTCTCTTATGCTCATCAAGGCTGCATTTATTTTCATAAAACACAGTAAATACAGTGATATTGTGAAATGTTATGATTGTAATATATTAAAATGTAATTGAATCCTGTGATGGTGAAGCTGTATTTTCCAGTCTTCAGTGTCATGACAGAAATCATTCTGATATGCTGCTTTGGTACTCAAACTGTTGGTTATGTTTACCTCTCTGTACTTCCGTTGGTCAACCGTTTAAACCAAACTGGGCCCACTAATGACCAGCTATAAACCAGTTACCATGTTTCAGTGGTTTTAGATGACGTTTTCCAGCAGGATGTTTTGATGTTTTTAACCTTGCGCCCTCAGCCTTTACAAGGCATAGGTTTGGTTTGAAAAGTGGTTACAGGGAGAGGCGTGAGACAAACCCTGAAATTAGAATTTTTCAACAAACCAGCAATTAAATCAGAGTCACAGAACCTGGATCATATTAAGAATCAATATAAAAATCTTTATTGTCACTTTTGGTCAATTTAATTCATCCTTGCTGAATAAAAGTATTAATTTCTTTCAGAAAAAAATCTTACTGACCCCAACATTTTGAATAGTAGTGTATACTTCCATTATACCATATCCCTAAAAATACAGTATACCATGGTCCTTTAACCAGTATGTGTGCCAGGAGCGAACTGACCCCCTATGTGTTTTCTTCTCTAGGGGTCTGGAAGGCTACAGACCAGTGAGTCGTCTCCTTCCACCGGGTTTGTCTCATCTGTACAGAAACCTGAAGCTGTGGTTCGTGCCATGAAGGTGCACACATTTTTCAAACGTTATCAAACCAAATAGCATTTATGTAAAGCTGCAGTCTGTAACTTTTGGCGCTCTAGCGGTTAATAAACAGAACTGCGTACGTCTTGCGGAAGAACATTGTAGCCAGAGCTACTTCTCTCTGTTTATGTCTATGACGAATCACGCAGGTAGTGGGCTACTCCGCAGCGGTACCTACCCAAACCAGTCTAAATAGTCCGAATATAAACACTTATTATAGGTGTACCGTAGTGATTCAGCACAAGCCAAAAATACGGTTTGGAAAATGGATTCATGGTGTACTCGATTATTATATAAATTTTGTAAATTTTGAACACAAAAAAGTTGCGGACTGCAGCTTTAAATATAGAACTGTATATAAAGCTTTTTAATCAAAACATTAACCGAAACAGGTTTCAATTGATAAAACAGTAGATATACTGTTCAAAATAAAGCGTTTGAACATATTGTGGTCAGACGTCATTGGAATATGTTCATAGTGTGATGAACTACATCTATGGTTTCTCTGCTAGGACAGCTGTGTCAACTGATGAACTGTGAATTATAAAATCAGGAAATTAATTCATAAATTCACAAAAAATCACCTTGATACCAGTTATTATATCATTGATATAATAACTTGAAAAATTATTTTACTTCTGCGAAAAAAGCTCTCAAAGTTCTATTTTTATATATATTTTTATATTTTGGATATATTGTCATCTAATGCAATGGTATTCAACAACTTTTATGTTTGATTTGAAGGGATAGTTCACCCAAAAATTAAAATGTACTCCCTATAATGTAATTCCAAACCCATAAGATTTTCAGCTTCAGGAAACAAGTTAAGATATTTTTGAAAGTCTGCATAACCAAAATCCAAGCTTCATAAAGTTCATAAAAAAACATTGTAAAAAGTAATGCATATGAATCAAGTACTTTAATCAAAGTCTTCTGTAGATACACAATTGCTTTATATGATTAACAGATTTAATTTACTAGAACATTAGAACACTGGTGAAAATGCTTGAAATGTTTCTAATAACTTAGCATAATTTATATGCTGTTGAATGTCAAATAAAATGTTAAATGAAAGTGAATCTTTGCTTTGTCCCTCTTTTTTTTCTAGAAATGACATGAACTGTTGTACATTACGAATGCTGGTTTGAAAAAATGCTCTTGACCATATATTAACAGGTTCTGGAGGTCCACGATAATCTGGACAAGCAGCTTCCAGAAGAAATTGAAGAAGACCTGAGTGAGAAAGAGAAAGCCATAGTGCGAGAGATGTGCAATGTGAGTGTTTGTCTTGATTTTTGTGATAGGTCTCTCAGGCTTGCTAAAACATATCGTGTACGATCCAAATATGTGACGTTCCATTCATTCATTCGACCCTTTGCGAAGGCAGATAAAAATGCTTTACAATGTCACACTTCATTTGAAGCCCATGATTAATATCACGCTGTTCACAGAAATGTCCAGTTAATTTATGGAACATTCTGTTAAGCTTTCCTTTGCAAAGAAGTGTTAAAGTGGGTGTAGTTTATGGAGGGGTCAGTGAACGGACACGTTGGTACACAGAGCTCATGATAGTTTGATCTGTTTGTTGGGCCCCTCAGTGGAATGTGGGAATGAAGAAATCCAGCTCGGAGCACAATAACACCAATGTCCTTCTCACCTGGAAACTCCTGGCCTGTTCAACACCATTGTGAACTCCGTTCATAAGAGTTCTGGATGGATGCTTTGGCTTGTTTTCACTTACTTTCTATGGGTGATTGTAACAATGTTAAATACGCCAAACACATAGCTGTGACTTTATGTGAAAAAGGGACAATGTACATAAATTATAATTGGGATGCACAATATATCATTATCATCAGCCAATATTAAAATTTTGTAGATTTTTTAAAAGGCTAATGTTAGTTATTTAATCATACATGCTCATTCCACCTTAGATTTCATTACATTTCTGATTGCATTTGATTACATTTTCCATCATCTAATGCTCACTTAAACACACTAAGTATTTACTAACAGCTTGTGCCAATGCAAACCCTCTTTTGGGATTAAAGAAGCTACTTTGAGGATTTACTAAAGGCACGCAGTGAAAAATTAGCAATGAAAAGGCATGGACAGTTATTTTTGTGGCTGACCATATTGCATATGCATTTGTTGCATGTGGAGTTTCCCTTTCAAATGCAAAATGCATGGGAGGAGAGTATTTAAATATATCATGCAACGTGACTTACTAAGGTTTGCAGTTGTCAGTTTACTGGGATTTGCACCATTATTTAACGCCCAAAAACAGCATAACCCATTTTGTGCTTGACATGGCTGCGATAGTTGCTAATTTGCACTGCTCTTGGTAGATTGCATTGGTCTTTCATTTGCACACTGTCAGAAGATCAACAGCAGAACTTTCCTCTCCCATCAACGCTTTTATAGGATTGTGGTCTCACACTAAATTGGCCTATGTAGTAAATCTGGCCCTAAGACTTCAACACTTGCAAAATGTAATCTTTAAATTCAAATCTCAAAATGATAATCAGTCTTTCACTGTACATTATAACATTGTGATGTCTAAATTTACTTGTAAAATGATTTATTTAAAAATTTTATTTTTGTTATTTAGACAAAATATTATAGAACATACAGAATGAATTGATTCATTCGTAAGCATGGTAATAAATTATATATAAGCCTAATTTACATAAAAAGGAGAGTGTTGAAAATGACAACAGCTTATAAGATGGAGGTTTCGCACTGACATACAACATGTAAATGTGGCACAGCTGTTTTTTTACTTTCCCTTTGTGTTCAGGTGGTGTGGCGAAAGCTCGGTGACACGGCAGGATCAAAGCATTCCATCCGACGGCAGCTCTCTGGGAATCAGTTCAAAGGTCCTCTATAGCAGCTCTAACACATGAGGAACATCTCTCCTTCTGTTCAGCCGCCATGAAACTCCAGCAGGGCCAAACTGAGAAACTGCTCACTGCAACAGCGGGCAAACACAAGCGCTTCCATCCACTACCATCATCCATGTCAAATAATTTGGAGTCCAACTATTGCCATTGGATATTGGACCACTACACACCAGTTTACAGATTTAGTGAATCAGTGAACATGTAAAGCAATAATCCACATTGAAATTACATTGTTTGACTATTAATTATAATTTTTCTTTGTTGCTGAAATGGATCTCATATTAATTTACGGCCTTGGCCCAAATGATGCATCTTTGATGAGCTCTTTTACCAATTCTGGACTACGCAGTTGACAATTACTCTACGGTCAATGTAGATTCAGAAAAGAAACTGGACCCATGAAGTGTTTACGACTGGCAGCTAGTCATGTTCAGTCAGCTTGCGTCTTCTTTTTTACCTCATATTTTTGTTTTTGTTTAACAGTGATGTCAGAAAACTCATTATTGTTTCCTTACACCCTTTTAGACAAAGTTATGTTGATCAAACTGTGGTTTACTCCTTTCAGAGCGATACCAGATAAGGCTTACTCTCTCCACTGTGTTCTGGTACCCTTCCTGTGCAAGTAATGTACAGAAATGACTCTGAAAGACGATGTAAAATATGTACAAGTCACTTTATTATGTTGTCTTTTTAAGTGTTTTGACTTTTTCTAGTAGCTGTTTTTAATACGTACCAACTTGACAGTGTATGGGGTTTCTTAACAGCGCAACACTTTTTGGACAATGCACCTCAAGACACAAAAGCAGCACAAAACATGCTGAATCTGATTTTTCCCTGTTCCTGTATGAAAAAAAATTAGCGGTCACAACTGAAATCCATTGTTTTTGTATATTTAAGATGTCAAATTTTAAAACGGTGTGCTGTGCATGCTAGACAATCACAACTCTCAGGTCTTGGGAAATTACAAGTATACATCATAACATGTCTGAAACAGTAGTTTTGTCCTTTTCCAGCCTTTTTAAGTCCTTTATTGACCCGTTAACAGTCAAGACTAATGCACTGGCAGAAATAATTGTGCTAATTTAATGTTTTAAAGATCTTGGCTGTCTGGTTCAACCCTAAGGGATGACCTACAAATCTAAAACTCCTGAAGCCCCTTTCTCATGATTCAAGTCAAAAACTAACACACATGCAATCCTCCACACATAAATGCATGACAGACGATGGCAGTGGGGTCAAAGTTTAAAGGGGTCATACGATGCAATTTCAAGTTTTCCTTTTTCAGTTATCAATAAGAGCGTTATTTTTAATCGAAATTAAGAGTGACATTTTATGTTTAAATTCCATACATTTTCCCTCAAAAGTCTGCAGGGCCTGCTATTCAGCAGGGAACTATTGATAAACATTCATCTGAAATAGTGATCAAGGTCTGGATATAGCAAGTGATGTTCAGTTAATATAAATGCATGTCAGCAATAGTTTAATGTATGTAAGTCTTTTTCCTGCTATTTTGTCAAATAAACTGCTGAGTTCAAAAACAGGCATGCTTATAAATGAAATATTGTGGCTGTGTTCAGAATGCAAAACTAGCATACTGATTATTGTGCAATGTATGCTAAATATTACTATTAAGAAAAAGGTAAGTAAATAAAACTACACATTATACAACCGTAAACAGTAGCATTGTCTTATGAAAAAGTCAAGAAAGGTCGAGCACACTGCATTGTGCCATACAATATTGTGCAATATGTTGTATACTGCATTTTGATAATAGTATGTTAGTATGCTATTCCGAACATATCCAAAAGATGTAATTGTAAATGGGTAAAGGCTAAAGAAAGAGTTTTAACGAATAAATCAGAGGTGCTTTCTCTAATAAGTAAGAGTGTATTTGATTGGCTGGCAATGAGTTTCGACCCACCTGTTACAAACATGAGAAGTTGTTATTGTTGTTTATGAAAGCAGTTGCAAGCAGATCCTGTACAGATAAAGTGTCGTTTCTCTTCAGAAGCGGTCTTAACACAAAGCCATGATTTTTGGGGATGATTTGATTTGGCATGTGCTGCCTCTATTGTGCATGGGGTTTTATTTGGAACCTATTTGAACCTATGTTGTTTATCCTGTCTTCAGTGTTAATAGGTGCGAGCATGACTGCAGGAGACATTTTATGGTAAAGTTGTACAAAGTGAACCAGACGGTTTTGTCAATAAACAAACTTTTACTTTATGTTGTCACATTTATTTATATAGCACTTTATACAGATTGTTTTAAAGTAGCTTTACAGCAATTAACAGAAGAATAACACTGGCATAAAGTTGGCTTGACGACGTTGGACGTTCGATATTCGCAAATTTAGGGACCATCTCTAAAGTTACATGCGATATTGGTATACACTTTTCTAACTTCAATAGCATTTGAGGAGAATTACTTACAGCCATAAAAACAACTGTAAACTGTTCATCTGGGTGTCAGCTATAATGCACACCTTTTACATTTTTGATATTTATTCAAATCTACTGTAAATCATATGTAAAGAATGACTTAGTCATAAAAACAACTGTAAACTGTCCATCTAGGTGTCAACTATAATGCACACCTTTTAAATTTTTTATATTTATTAAAATAAACTGTAAATCATATGTAAAATATGCAACTTTTTCACAACCTAATGGGCTCAAACTCAAATTTAAAGCTCAATAGCATTTGAGGAGAATTACTTACAATCAAAAATAACTGTAAACGGTTCATGTTGGTGTCAACTATAATGCACACCTTTTACATTTTTTATATTAATTGTCAAATTATTAAACTGTCAAATCATATGTGAATAGTGCTATTTTTTTCAATACCGCATGGGCTCAAAATCAAAATATATAATAATTTAAAGCTCAATAGCATTGGAAGAGAATGACTTACAAACTGTAAAGTGTTCATCTAGGTGTCAGCTATAATCCACACCTTTTAGATTTTTGATATTTATTGAAATAAACTATCAAATCATATGTTAAAAATGCTAATTTTTCACCACCGAATGGGCTCAAATGTGTGCATAATTTAATTAAAATATGGCAAAATATGGCATAATATGGCATAATTTAAAGTTCAATAGCATTTGAGTAGAACCACTTACTGTTATAAAAACAACTGTAAACTGTTCATGTAGGTGTCAGGTCTGATGCTGTCACAATCACATTCTCCAGTCACTATGCCTGTCACCTCAACAGCACCCATAATCCTCTCTGGTCATCACCTGCACACCCTTCACAATCAACACACCTGTCTGCCATCACCCTCATCTGCAGCTCTATTTAAACCAGCGCTGCTCTCACACACACGGTCATTGTCACATTATGGCATATTTTGCATTTGAGCTTATTCTTTATGATTTAGAGTTTATCTTAATAAATATCAAACATGTAAAAGGTGTGCGTTGTAGTTGACACCTAGATGAACACTTTACAGTTTTATGACTGTAAGTCATTCTGCTCAAATGCTATTGAGCTTTAAATTATGGCATATTTTGCATTTGAGCCTGTTCAGTAGGGAAAAATAGCAATTTTTACATATGATTTTCAGTTTATTTGAACAAATATCAAAAATATAAAAGGTGTGCATTATAGTTGACACCTAGATGAACAGTTTACAACCCTCATCTGCAGCTCTATTTAAACCAGCGCTGCTCTCTCACACACACATTGTCACATTATGGCATATTTAGCATTTGAGCTTGTTCGGTATGATTTAGAGTTTATCTTAATAAATATCAAACATGTAAAAGGTGTGCATTGTAGTTGACACCTAGATGAACACTTTACAGTTTTATGACTGTAAGTCATTCTGCTCAAATGCTATTGAGCTTTAAATTATGGCATATTTTGCATTTGAGCCTGTTCAGTAGGGAAAAATAGCAATTTTTACATATGATTTTCAGTTTATTTGAACAAATATCAAAAATATAAAAGGTGTGCATTATAGTTGACACCTAGATGAACAGTTTACAGCTGTATTTATGACTAAGTAATTCTCCTCAAATGCTATTAAGCTTTAAATTTGCATTTGAGCTCATTCGGTTGTGAAAAAGTCACATATTTTTACATATGATTTACAGTTTTTTAAATAAATATTAAAGATGTAAAAGGTGTGCATTATAGTTGACACCTAGATGAACAGTTTACAGTTGTTTTTATGACTAAGTCATTCTCCTCAAATGCTATTGAGCTTTAAATTTGCGTTTGAGCCCATTCCGTAGTGAAAAGTCGCATATTTTTACATATGATTTACAGTTTTTTTTAAATAAATATCAAAAATGTATAAGGTGTGCATTATAGTTGACACCTAGATGAACACTTTATAGTTGTTTTTATGGCTGTAAGTAATTCTCCTCAAATGCTATTGAAGTTAGAAAAGTCTATACCAATATCGCATGTAACTTTAGAGACGGTCCCTAAATTTGCGAATATCGTACGTCCAACGTCGTCAAGCCATCTTTAAGCCAGTAAGAATAACTTGTTACAAATGTACAAAATTAATAAATTTTGTAACGACTGCAATTTCAGCTGTAAAGCGGATCTACAGAAGACAACTGTTATTATTTAGCTCAGTTTAGTTCAATGTTGATTAAATTCAGTTTAATAACAGTGTAAATTGTGCAACAAGTTTGCATCTGTGCTTAAAACATGATGTATCATAAACTAGCTGTTAGCTTTTCACTAATGTGAAATACCAGCATTACTATGATAGAGGACATTGTACACTTTGTTGTATAGTGTCTATAGCGCTGGGTAAAAAATATTGATTTCTCGATTTTTAATCGATTCTCATTTTTACAAAATGATATCGATTCTTAAATCCTACGAAACGAGTCTAGCCTGTTTTCTGTTAATGTAATTATACGCACATCCCATCCAATAAATCGCAATAAGCTTTGTTACTTTTGATATTAAACAAGTCTCGGATATGTATATACACACACACAGAGAGAGAGAGAGAGATATATACTATTAATCTAAAATAATCGAATCGAATCGAAACGTGAAATTTGTCAAAAACCCATGCCCTAATGTCTATAACGTAATGCAGTAATTTGAAGTTCAACTATGCTAAACCTGTACTTTGGGATATTTTGTTGAGTTGTTCTCAAATTGAGGGTTGTGACCCTGAAAATAGGTCACAAGGTTGATCTGATACGGTTGCCAACAGCAGGGGGAAGAACACTGCTAAATGCAACTAAACATTCTTATGTTTTGTTGATGTCAAATGTGATTTAGGTGCAAATTCATGTCACTTGCTAAATTAGGCAGATGTCCACAACTCAAAACCCATGAACAAAACTATGAAAGAGAAAAAAAACACATTGCTATGTTAAATACCGGTTTATTGGCAGTTGGGAAACATGGTTTGTGTTTAACACAATTGTTTGCTGAATTATTGGCTGCAGAGAGTAATATTGGGGCTATATTGGTATACTTGATGTAGGGCCTAATTCCAGTAAACATGCCAATGCAAAATGTAAAAAAAAAAAATGTCGGAGGACATTGCCCCCTAATGGTATTGAAGGGAAATTACTCATTTTTACACTCATTTCATCTCATTGACAACCTCACAAAATTCAAACCGAATCAACTTATTGTAGTAAATGTATTGTGGCCACACTTTTATATATAATATACTTTGAATACTTAGCTTCACATGCAAAACGCTTAATAAACACCTACTTTGAAAAATAAAACAAAGCATTTACAGCAATGCACTCACAATGGATGTTTATGGAGCAAGACATTCCATATGTGTGTGTGTGTGTGTGTGTGTGTGTGTAGGTTAATGTCACAATACATAATACCTACTGCATGCACAATGAGGCATAAAAAATTTACATAAGATATGGAAAAGACAACATGTTTTCTGATAACCTATCCAAGTTAATATTTTCAGCTAACCAAATAGTAAGCCTGACTGAACACTATAAATTCAATAATAAATGAATCATGAACAGATCAGTAGTTTACACATAAATGCACATATAAGAATAAAACTTCATCATTAATACATTTTAACTAATGCCCTGTTTATCATTACACAATATAATGTAGTTTATTAATGTAATTCGAGTTTTAATAAAGTGTTCATTTTAGAAATTTATACTGGCTAATATCTTGGGAAACATGTTTTAATCTTTCCATCCAGGAGCTTGTTTGTATCGTTTGAAACAGGCAAGGTTTGTAAGCAACTTTCCCACAATATTCTCATGTGAAACCATATCATGTTTAAACCTTGTGTATCACAATGTGTATTTTAATGTTTGTTTTTTTTATTAAACACTTATAACTGAATCTGTTTTTTAATTAAAGACACAATTATTTTCTCTGATAATTGATAGCATGACAGTGATGCGATTTAAAACAAGACACAATTCAGGAAATGCACAAGGAGAAAAAGACTTTTATTATCTGCCTAAAAAAAATCAACAGGCAAACACAAGGTGGTTGAGCATAGCAAGTCCTTTGCTGATTAAATACTAACCAAACTAAGGCACATACGGGAAACTATGGAACTAACATGTCCATCAATCAACGGACTTGATCTCAGGTCAGTCAAAGATGCCAGAAATGCATCTGAATAAAAGGACTGCTAAGGATGATTTGTGGGATATTTTTACCCATGTTGCTAAGAAAAAAAGATGAATTCTGCAACACACCAACTAAAGAGCAAAGCCAAAGGGGAGTGAATACATAACATTAAAAAAAGGTTCTCTGTACAACCAAGAATTCATAATTCATTCACAAAAATGGGTTTGGAATGTAAGTGGTGATGTGAACTAATTTAAAGGGATAGTTTCCCCAAAACATAAAACTCTGTTTTTATTTATCCACCCTCATACCATTCCAAACCCGTATGATTTTATTTTTTTATCTTCACATCATGTCAGATCTTTTAATGTAAAAACCATTCATACGGACCAGAAAAAAACACTATGAAGTAATCCTTACTACTTGAGATCTGAAACCATATAATAACTTTGTAAAAAGCTAAAAACATCTCTATTATATGACTTCAGAAACATCATATGGACCAAGTCGTAGATCACAAGTTGTATGGTCCATTTTTTTAAATGTGTTTTTTTTTTATTTTGTAGATTGACCAAACATGGTCAATGTGAACCATTGTATGGAAAATATCCATGAAGATATTTCAAAATTCTCTTTTGCATACAGGTTTAGAACAACATGAGCGAGAGTAAATACATCAGTTTTTCATTTTGGGGTGAACTATCCCTTTAAATCGCATTGGTGGATATAAAGTCTACAGAGCGGTGAAACCCTGAACCCAAGCGGAAGTCTGTGGTATTCTCGGCAGCTGAAATGTCTACCTTCCTGTTAAACCTGCATCAGAATACATATAAACCTGATACAGACTGTATATTGTAGACAGGCACATGAATCATGGGCCTAAACCAAGGTGTGAAGGACTGATTTAATCACCTCTCATCTCATCCACGCCCCTCTGTTCATTCCTGCCACAGGAGGCATGGCGTGGGGCGGCAGCGGCACCTGAGGTTGGCCAGGTGGAGGTGGGTACCCAGCGGGCGGTAGGCCCATTACAGGAGGGGGCACAGTGTGCCCTGGTGGCATACGCGGGGGCGGAGGGGGGTAGCTGGGGTTGTAGCCCGGAGGG